GTGTGGACTCATTCATATCTTGTTCATCACACGCGTCGAGAAACAACTCGGTGGTCGACATTGGACTGGGTTCTCGAATAGCTGGACATGACTTTTTATGATAATAGTACGATGCACCCCATCGATAACGTTTGGCACAGCCCGGACACTGGTACTTGCCTTCCGCACTGTGTTTTCCCTCCACATGTTGCTTTAACGACAGGCGCGAACTGAACTCTTTGCCACACTGAACACAGAGTTTTGCGTGCATTGATCCGTTCATCATCATCATTGTCATCATGGCTGAGCTGACGTTGGACATAACGTTTGAATTGGTAAGGCTGTCCGATTCGGTGCACTGTAATTGTGCAATCGGTGTTCCCGGGACGGATGGAGACAGTTCATCCGAGAGGCCGGGACAAGGAAATCCCACAGCAGCTGCGGCATTGGCCAAAACGGTTGCCATTGCAGCCATTAAAGTGGTAGTTGGTGTTGTAACAGTTGTGGTTGAATTTGGTCGTGTAGGAGCATCTCCAGTGGAGGTGATTAGATCGGTATCACATCTCGGTGGGTTTGTTTCGTTTGAATCCAGCGCTGCGTCGTTTTTCGCAGTTGTATTCGGGTGTGTACTATTCCAAGACTTTTCGGATATGGATGATGACGCTGATTTCACTTTCATATCCGACAGTTGTACATTTTGAGGACTGTGCTCATTCATAAACTCATCCGGGTCAGATGTTGATCGTCTTCTAGTGGTCACGTTCGGAGACGAATCCGGATCGGATGGTTGATGTGGTCGATTATCCCCAGACCAAGTGGATTCGGACAGCCCAGTTCGTTCGGATTCACTCAGCGAGGAAGAGGCCAATTCGGGAACCGAATGATCTTCTTTCACACTACTATCTGATAAATGTTGCGTACTCGACATGATCGCATTCATAGCTGCCATGGCTGAGGAGAAGATCAAGGTTTCGGTCCCATTATTCTCCGGTTTTACTCTTGCTGTGGGATTCTCAGCCGGGTTGAGTAGTGGAGAATCTCCTGGAAGAAATGGTGAAAACGGTATTGTTGCTGTTGTTGTCGCTGTTGTGGATACTGAATCGTCCAATTTCTCTTGTGGTTGTACCAATCGTTGTAAGGTGACACAATTGGCTAGGTGGTTTAAATATAGCGGTAACGGGCCGAACTGTTGACCGCATACACAAAGTAGCGCACGTGACGATTCAGATGGGATCCCATCTATGGACGGTTTTGATTCATTCGAAGACACTGATGCTGTTGTTGTCGTTGTTGTTGATGACGCTGATGATGATGATGAAGATGTGGTACCGTTTGTGGGAAAATATATGGCTGGGTTTGGAAATGGAGGTATTGTGTTATGTGCAATTGAGGATCTTGAACCACTGCTATGATTCGTTGTGGTTGGAGCAGATACTTGAGTTAATTGTGGCACTGATGATCCGGTTCCGTTCGCGGAGGACAGTGATGGCGGCGGTGGTGGTGGAGGTAGCAAGGAGGGAAACAGTGCGGCAGGACCGAGAGGCGAACCGAACGGTAATGAATTCCCCGATCCCGAACTCGTATTGTACGGTGGATGAAATCCGAGTGGTGGTGGAGGTAACGGAGGGCCGAATGGGACACGCATTCCCATAGCTGCACAGGCAGCAGCCGCGGCAAGCATCGCGCTGGGATTCGGCACTGTTCCAATTCCGCCCGGAGTTGATCCTACATTTCCTAAAAATCCGGAATTGGAACTGGTTCCCATCGACAGGGGATCGTAATACGCAGCTAGTGATGCGCCGAATAGATCAGGACCGAATGGATGCCCGTGTAAATTAGGATGTGATGATGCTGTGGGGAACGGGAATGGATTGGATAATTTGGAAGTGTTTGCATGTTGTACTGAGCCAGCTTGTGAATGGTTGTGATTTGGACTGGAGCTATGATCCATCGGTGATGAGAAGAAATAGCCCGGTGGCAGGGGGAATAGAGACGAGTCTGTTGTGTTCATTCCATTAGAATTTGTGGAACGAGTGTGAAACGTGTGTGCGGCGGTCACTGTGGTCCCCGATGGACCATTGTCCCCCGACGGACCATTACTGCTAGTTGTGGATGCGCTGGTCGATGGAGGACGTTTTTTACATGTTCTCTGATGGTGATAGAATACAGGAGGCCAACGATACTTCTTTGCGCAATAGCGACACGTGTACTTCGGTGGATAGTGTATGTGCATATGCTGATCGAGTAGTGCTTTCGATTTGAACGCTTTGATACAATGACAGCATTTGAATGGTCTGGTCAAATCTGGACTGGTTTGTGGCTCGTTATGATTTGTAGGCACAGAGCCCATACCGTGTCCACTGATACTATGGCCATGATGATGGTGATGGTTCATGGCAGTTGGTGCATCTTTCGAGCCTCCCACGGATCGCATTTCATTGGATTTGTTAGGACCTTTTTGAACGGGTTTACCGGCAAACGCTGTCATATTAGCCTTTGGGCTATACGGTTTGGAATACGGTGAGTATCCCAGTGGTGACATAAAACCCAATGGAAATCCGGGTGGTGAATAGCCCTGATCCGAACGGTTATGACCAGTGGATGTGGGCAGTGTTGACATAGCACTATACAAAGAGGAAGCGGAAGAGGACGCGGAAGGCCAGTGTCCGAATTGACCGGGACCGGTTGGACTGGGACGAGAGAATGGATTGGAAGGAAGTGGCATTCCAGGGTTGCTCGGTGATCGTGATCGATGCATTAGTATGGGACAGTGAGTGAAATGATTGAGGACCTCGTTTGGGCTGTTAAATCCCGTCTTACCACATGCGGTGCAATGAAGTGTTTTGGGCGCTGGGACAACATGTGTTCCCGGTGGCCAATCCGGATTGGATCTCGAATGAACATCCGCCGAATTGTGACGTGAATGAGACGGGGATCGAATTGACTGAGTGAATGACAATGCATTGATAGGTATAGACCCGGACACCGGGGTCACAGTTGCTGATGAGACACGATGTTGTAGCGGACAATTTAAACGATGCTTTAATAGGGTGGGAAGCCATGTACATGATTCACCACATCCACAATCAAAGTGACCGCGAATATCGTGTGCATTCTCAAAATGATGATACAAATGTGGCAAACTTGAATTGGTATACTTACATTCCGGACACCTGCGTACCTGACTGTCTTGTGAGCGGACAGATAGATCCAATGCCAGATGACCACTACCTACCGCACCGCTTCCAGAACTGATAGTGTTTAAACCGTTCTTTCCCACCAAATCGTTATCCTCGGTTGAGTTGGAGCTGGTTTCGGGTGAATGTGTGTCGAGCTGTTCGGGTCTGGTGATCGGTGTAACCGGCTTGGATTGACGTACAGATGAGGGAGACGAGTGAGAAGATAACGTCTTTAGTCCATTCGTCGCGGATGCTACAGCCGCAGCTGCTTCAGCAAAGCTGTTTGCGGTCAGTGCAAATTCTTCGCAATGACGTGCGTGATCGACGAATGTCACAGAATCGGGAAATTGTTTTCCGCAAGGACACGGGAGTCCAGTGGAAATCTGGTTGTGGGTGTTACCAAGGCCGTCAAATCGTGCACGTTTCGTTGGACTAAACAAGTAATCAGGCACGGGATCAGTCACAGAGTGTCCCATGGTTGTCGTGGAGCACACAGTACCGCGGTCATTTTCAACATCAGTTTGCCCGTCGTTTTGTTCCATAATAGACATTTCATTTGGTATAGAAGTGGTCGCTTCCTGTTCACATGCACTCACCGGGGATGTTCCGGTCGAATGAGAATGTGTGGAGCATGTATTTAGCACATCGGAATTGGCCGGATCGGCGGAGTCCAGTGAGTTTATGAAAATACCGGACTGTGTCTTCGTTCCGTTCATCAGTCCAGAAGCGAATGGCGATGGATAAGGCGAGTAGGTAATCAGAGTGTTTTTTGTGTGTGAAATCTTACAATTGTCCAGCCGAATTGGGGATGCAACAAGAGACATTCGTCTCGAGTCCGGGAAAATCACTCAGAGTCATTCAGACGCGCGTGTGTGTGTATACGCATCCACAGAAATAGACAGAGAAACAGTGATGCGACGGGGGAATTATATGTGTGTGTGTGTACAAACGCATACAATTGCACCAGTACCAGCACAGGGGTAACACGAGCAACACAATACTCGTGTACACAGTACTATTTCGCGTAGCGTTCTCGT